TTGTGTAATGATGGTGTGCCTTTCAAACCGATCATTCACCAACTTATCAATTGAATCAAAAAGTCTATTTTTAACCTCCCTATCATTAGCATTGAAAGTTGGACAATAATGAATCCTTGTGTTTAAATAGTGGGTTGCGGCATGCAATGGCCTATGGAGTTGATTATTACACCTCTCATCAATGATCTTCCATATATGCTCATATCTATAAAATTGCATAAAAAGGATAAATAAGAAAACTCAAGTCTTCACGAATAAATTAATAGATAAATTAATTAGAATTGTATGAAATTATTAATTTACCTTGCTTTCACATTGTTGAAGTTATTTTGGATCTTTTCTTTTGCACAATCCATCTCCTCGTACAAGAATGGCATAGCAGGTTGCTCATCTGAATCCACCAGTCGTAGTACCTTGATTAGTGGTAAGGCAGCCCTAAGACATGTCACAACATTACTCCAAAATTTATTATCCAACACAACCTTTGGAACTTTCTTGCATTTCTCCGTACGAGCATGTGTGCTTCCCTTCCTGCTTGATGAAGAAAACATTGTAATTAAAGAACCCTTATGTTCACTAAGCCAACCCAAAGTCAAATATGCAGTTGCAAACCCAGTAACAGCTGGCCGAATCAAATCTCTTGCTTTGCTGTAGTTTTTCATCGAAGATATGAGACTTGGTCTATTGTAAATAAATGTAGTGATCTTTCTACCTTTCCTTATTGTTACTCGGTGAGTTTGCAGCTTCTTCTCGAAATCCTCCAACATCAAGTCTATGCAATGGGCTACACATGGTGTCTAAAAAAAATTCTTCCTTTTCTCCATCAACAACGATCCAACTGCTTTGTATGAGGCAGCATTATCAGTGATGACTTGCACCACATTCTCTTTCCCAACCTTGTCCACAGTTTTATCCAACATCTCAAACACCTTTTCAGCTGTTTTCGAAAAGGAATATGTATCGATTGACTAAAAAAAACAGCTCATTTAGGACTATTAACCAAGAAGTTACATATCGATCTTCTCTTTCTGTCAGTCCAACCATCCGACATGATTGAGCATACAATCTTACTCCATTCGTCCTTGTTGACATCAAGGGAATTGTCCATTTCCTTGACTTCTTCAGTCAAAAAACTCTCTCTAATATCGTGGTAAGAAGGACCCTTAAAACCTAGACCATGTCGAGCTATCTCCTCACATGCTCTCTCAAACTCGGGATTTCTCACTGTGTTGAAAGGGATCCCACTCGTATAAAACCATTTTGCTATTCGCTTGCATGCGCTTTTTCGCAAATCCTTCATGAGTAGTTGATTCATAGTTGTTTGTTACGAACCTGCTTTTTCTTTCTCCTTTGAAGCATGATCCATGAATCCCGAGTGTGTTTCATTCATCGAACCCGAGGTGTCATACAATTTCCTTTTTTTCTTCTCTTTAATCTCAACAAGAGTTTCTAGATTCTCAATCATACAGGTCTTCACACCATCTGGCACACTTAAACATGCAATAACATTTTCATTTGTACCAGCAAGATGATTCTTCAAACGATAGACACCTCCGGAAAAAAATATAGTACAATATTTGCATTGAGATCTCTTCGCATTATTGTCAATGTCAATGCCATGCACCCACTCAATATCAGATCTATTTCCACTAGACTTCTTCGAATTACTCTTCTTTTTCTTAGACACAATTGAAGAACTAGAAGCAACCCCTGACATTTTAATAAGAATCTAAAAAAAAAATGTATAAGTAAATATTTGATTACAAAGACGGGAAATTGTCGAAATTTAATTCGAAAAACAGTCTGCCTTGCAAACAAACAGAGATAGAAGAAAGAAAAAAGAAAAAAAAAACACTCATCAGTTACCAACGTCGTCTCCTTCGCCGTTGCGCCGCCGTACCACCGCCTTCTTTGCTGCCGCCTTCCCTCATGGTTTGCCGCCTCCCTTGGTAACTCACAGACACGGGTTGTTTTTCTCTTAAGAGAAGAGAAATTTTTTCTTCCCGTTCATAACATACTGATGTTTTAGGGCAAAATCAAACTGGGCCTATAAAATTCCTGATTTACTTGCTACTGGGCTGAATTTTTATAGTTAAATATTGAGTTTTTTTGGTCCAAACTCAAAATTCCAGCCCAAACTGAGACAGAAAATAAAATCGTCAAAATCGCATTAAAATTGCGTTTTTAACGATTTTGAATTCGATTTCACCCGATTTTGAGGCACTTGCGATTTTAGTCCGATCTTACTCCTTCTTAGTGTGTAGAATCTTAAAATCGCACGATTTTAAGATCTAGATCTCGATTTTAACTACCTTGCATGAGTCGATTGATATTGCACATGAGATGGCGATGGATATCGATAGAAGACTAATGGTGGGAATATTATTTTTAAATTATGTCCAAAGCATACGATAGACTAGAATGAAGATTCTTGTTAAATGCTTGTTGGGCATTGGTATTTTCAAATAAAGTTTGTGACTTGATTTATCAATCTATCTCTAGTATATGGTATACATTACATATTAATGGATCAACTTTTGTTCATTTTAAGCTGTCAAGGGATCCTCTTTCTCCTTTGCTTTTCATAATTGAACAAAAAATTCTATCATCAAACATTAAAAGAATTAATTCCTTGAAGCAATAAAACAATATAAAATTTGCAGAGGAGAGCTTTACGTTTCTCACTTGTTTTATGCTGACAAAATGTTGTGCTTTTCTAGGGCTACAAATTTTAGATCAAGAGTATGATGAAGTTACTCAAGATATATGTGGACTCGTCGGCGCAGCTCATTATCTTTGGGAAAAGTGGTTTTTACTTAGGTTAGAAAATGTCTATGGCTCGATTACATAAACTCAATAAATAGATTGGTTGGCTTAAGAGGGAATTTTCGTTCAAGTATTTGGGTGCTCCCATTTACAAAGTACGAAGATTGATCTCCTATTTTGAGTATGTCATTTAGAAGATATGTCCGATGGCAATCTAAATTCGTGTGTTTTGGAGGTAAAATAACTTTGATTAAGTCAATGTTATGAAGGTTACCAATTTTATGTTTTATCATGCACGGCTGCCCCAAAACATGTGAATCATACAATCGAGCCCCTATTGAAATCCTTCTAATGGGTCATCATGGAGGAAAAAAGTTCATTGGGTTAATTCGGAAAGAGTGTGTTCCCCAATGAAAGGAGGAGGGCTCGGGATAAGGCTCGTTGGAGAGATGAAATATAGCTTAAATGGGAAATTGGCATGGCATTACAAGGCACATATCTTTGGACACGGTTCATGATAGCAAAATATGTGGCTGGAATGCAGCGCTCTTCAGTTGCTCACCATAGCTCGGCCTTATAGAAGGAAATTTGGCCGAGCAAGTGGATTTTTGCAGAGATAATTATTCATTGGAATCCTCCATTAGGAAGCATTACAATGAGTATTGACGGCTTATGCAAAAAATGAGATGGCAACTGGAGAAGGTATATTATGGTATATCGACGACAATATAATATTTGGCGTTTCAAATTATTATGGAATGGGTAATTTTAGAGGCGGAAGCTACAATTCTTCTCGACGGAATTCGTCGGTGCAATCAATTTGGATTTAGTTATGTGCAAATAGAGTCTGATTGTCTTACAGTTGTAAAAGAATCAACTCTCGAAGCAACGCTACTTGGGAACTAGAATATATTGTCCGGAAGTGCATTAAGGAGAAGGACCAATCATGGAAAGTTAGCCCACATCTTTGGGGAACCAAATAAAGTTGCAGATACTCTGGATCAAGGGCGACTCATCAACACAAGCCTCACCAAGCGTATGTATGTATGTATGTACGTATGTACACGAGTTTACAACATCTTCAGCCAACTACTCACCTTATAATACTGCATGATAAAATAGGATTTTATAGGTACTGTATCAAAGTAACTCATAATTGTTGTTTGTTGTTATTCATAAAGGGTACTCTTTCCTTGTTAGGTCAAATAGAGTTTTATCGAGGCCCCTCTTCTAAATAAACAAAAAAATTAGGGCAAAAAAAAAAGATGGAATTGGACTAACCTTCGGAAAAGATTGTAGCATAATATTTAAGTAATTTATCTTGATTACAGTAAACAGATGATAACTTTTATAGTTATTGTTTTGATTTATTATGCTAGCACAAAAGGCACATTTGCTAATAAAAATAGTAATCTAAGTTTTTTTTTAACAAATAGAGTAACCATTAGGGGTGCCGAATGCAATAAACCAAGGAGAACTAGATACAGAAAAACTTGAAGGACTACAAATACGCAGTCAAGATTTCTCAAGGTCGTGGGTGCAAGAGTAAAAAGTTTCTGAGAATCCTCAATCCTTCAATCTAAATGTAATGCAAAAGGAAATATGCTCTTTCTTTATTCATGAGTACACATTGAATATACACATATCGTGAAACAAAACATAGGCAGAGCTTCTCTAAAGTATAGTTGAATACCCATGATGAGTTCATCATCTTCGATACCAAACGATGTATTTTATTAGCATATGCATCTTACTTTCGGCAAAAACACATTTATAATAGCATACAGGTACACCACAAATAACATTGGGAAAAACAAAACGAGACAACCATTAACAGTCAGAATGTACTCTTAGCTTCTGGAAAATTTAAAGGCTAAGTGTGCGATTTAAGTAGGAAACATAATGTACCAATTAAAAAACAAACATGATGTCGTCAAATACAATTATTTATGTCCTGCTGTACAATTTTCCAAATGAATCATAAATGATTATTTACATAGCTAATACAGAAACTCAATCGAGGGTTCACCTTACAAATAATGGATTTTCTCAGACTAATTTGGACTCAGTCGTGACGTGGTGCTTTACCAACAACTTCCTTCTTGTGTTACTATTTGTAGACAACGAATTATATTTCACAATGCAATTAAAATAGATTATTCAAAATACAACTGCTTCATGGATAAAATGCCAAATGCAGTAAGTAATGCATTAAAAATTAAGGCAAACACATATTTCAAAGCCCGGATGAGAATAAGGTAAAGTTTATTAACAGCCAGCTTGGAGGCTAATTGCCGTTCAGTTGTTCAACCTTTACATATGATTTACTATTTTAGCCAATAGAGTGATTAATACTCAACAACACCTTCGTTCGGAGAATTGACTTGGCTTACCGAAATCCAGTCAAAGCTTCCTCAAATTATCTCTGCTTATTTATCCACTTTCAGCTTTGTTTCTCTCTCTCCTGCATATGGATTCAAATAATGGGGAAACTTAAACATTCGGTTGGCTTAATGGTATTTAACATTTCAGTTTTCTATGTGTGAGAAAAATTGGATGTCCGATCCGACTATTACAAGTAGAGTAAAATCGAAACAATTACATCATCTGTCCCTGGCCCCCGAGTAAATATATAGCAATAATACCTTAGCAACTACCTTAACATATTCATCTTGCATTTCTTGTGATGCGCAATCATGATTGAGTAGAAATACCGCATACATACATACATACATACATACATACATACATACATACATACCGGCAATTATACTTCATATCTGCCCTATAAGCCATCCTTACTGCCTAACATTTCCGGTAAAAACACACATACAAGCTAAACGAGATTAATGCTATAATTACACCTGATTAGACCCTTCATGTAATAACCAACACATTTCCAGACTTCCGAATATTCATAAATTACATAAATATATATGTTTATGATGAAGTAGAAATTTTAGAAGATGTAAAGAAGGGCTTAATTTAACTTTTCACACTTGAAATGCACCATTTTGGCACTTTGCACCCCAAAAATAATAAATGGCATTTTGCACCCTCAAAACATGTTTAATCGTTCAAAGTGCACCCTCAAAACATGTTTAATCGTTCAAAGTGCACCATAGTATATTTTTCGGTCCTAATTTTCCGTCAGTAACTTATTTTTTGATCGTCAACCTGGTCATTTTTGTCTATTCAATTGATTTTTTTCTTTAGGGTGCAAAGTGCTAATGTATTTTCGAGCGAAAGATGACTCGGTTGACAATCATAAAATAGGTCAACAATGGAAATTCAGGACGGAAAATTAACTAGAATGCAATTTGAACAATTAAACCTGTCCCAAGGATGCAAAGTGCCATAAATTATTTTCGAGGGTGCAGAGAGCCAAAATGGCACGTTTCAAGGGTGCAAAGTGAAATTAAACCCGTAAAAAGCAAGAGCAAAAATATTAATTTGAGAACATATAAAAATCAAGAAAAAGGGCAAAAACAACAACAACAACTCACAAACTTGGGATTCCGAGTCAGTATTAAGATCCCCAAACTTCTCCTTGAAGGAATCTTGCCTCTGTAGCCACATCATATGCCCCTGCAATTTTGATGCATAAAAAAATAGAATCAAATGCTGAAATAAATAAATTAATTAATTAAAAATATGAATTTGTAGATGGAGAGAACCTGGAGAGCAGCGGCCCAGGTTATGAGGAAAGAGGCGAACAAGAATCTTTTGTCCTTGAGAAGATGCCTCACTTGAGTTTTTCTCATTTCCATTTCTCGCTATTCCAACTTACCTCTTAACTCTTGATTTGTATTTTATGGGGGGTTTTGAATCAAATCAACAGAGTCCATTTGACTAAGAACAATTTTTTTTTTGAGATGAGAACAAATTTTCTCAAAAAATAAAAATAAATAAAATTGAGGAAGAATTGGGCTGCAAATTAAACCGAGAATGAAGTCCAGAAAAGAAAATGCGTACATTTGGGGCTGAGCGTATCTGGGTAGCCTATGTATAAATAAAATAAAATTGATATTTCACTAAGATAAGCTCAAAATTAAAGTTTATTTACAAACACTTTTTTACTTTTATAGTAAAGGGAATTTTAGTAAGACCCCTCATTTGGAAAACTCATGTAAATTTTTTTTTTGCTCCATTCTTTTCCGAAGCGGCAGATTTCTTCCCGGGGTGGTGTTGAAGGCGGTGCTTAATCGTTTCATGGTGCCGTTCTTCGGCTTCGTTAATCAAAGCCGATCAAAACAACAAATTAACAGCTTTAGACAATGACGAGTCCAGGAATTTGTTCTAGGGTGGGCTTAATTTTTCGGGGGCTTAGGGGCAGCGCTCTCGTTAAAAAATTTAGGCAATCTATTTGCTTTAAATATGACAAAATTAGAAAATAGGCAAAGAAAAAAAAAGATTGGAATTTTTTTAGGAGATTTTTTTTTTGCATTAATTTTGATTTTGGGTTGGCTAATTAATAAAATTGAGGTGGACTAAATACAATTATAGATCTAATTTATTGGTATAATTTTTAATTTAGGATGGGCTTGAGTCCATCCTGGCAAATGGGCGGACACGCGCCCCTGGCTTTAGGGTTCGGGACGACGTTGATGGTGGGGGATGGTGATGGTGTGGTGACGATATGGGGAGCAGATCGAGGATCTTTTAGATGGATGGCGCGGAGGACGGCGCAAACGGAGGAAGTTCGCGAAGGTTGGGTCCTTAATCGATTACGTTCAGTAGGAGAAGATTAAGGTTAATCGAGTATGTTCAGTAGGTCAAGAGCTCTGATAAAAAAGTTGTTATGTGAGCTAATTTGAACGTTTGAACTACTATTCCAATCAAGAGTGAGGCCATCGACTGATCCAACCGGAGGCATGAAAAGAAAATTTAGGAGAAATGAACAAGTAAAATCATTGTTGATAGAACAAGCGAATGACTTTTTGATTTCACAAATAATACAAATATGTGGTTTAGATTCTTTAAGATGCAATCTCAGAGCCCTCACTACCTTCATCTTGGCCAGCCTTTGGCAGTTCCACGATATTATCATCATATAATCACTCCCTTGACCCCTTAGGGCCATCAAGGGTTGGTTTTAATTAGTGATGATGCTAAGGATCGATCACCTGATGTGGTTGAAGTAGGATAAACTGACAGAGCAAAGTGAATCACTGTCTGAAGAGCTTGATGGCTCTGAGATACCTGTGATCAGAGAACACGTAAACTAAGCCAGGTGTTGATCCGACGAAAATCCCACCGACGCTCAAGTCAGGCGTGTGAATTATAAAAGTCGTTGAGAGAATACGAGCAATTCTATCGTTCGAATATTGAATTTACCATAACAAATTTGTTAAAATCTTTATTTGTACATTGTTCATTGGGCTGAAGTTAATTTGTTAAGATTGTCGGGCCGGGCCCAACCCTTATTTGAAGGTGATCGGGCCTTCGTTGTAGTGGTGTTCAAAATTGGACTCGTGACTCAGTAGGTAAAGAAATTATAGGCCTTTTGGGTTGGCCCTATTAGGCATATCAATTAGAAAGGAGAAACAAAGGTTGCACGAGTCTGTGATGACTGATCTACATTAATTTCAGTGATCGTCACTGAGTATTGCTAATTTTGTAAACAATAACAACTCCATCCTTCATTTTTTTTAAGGAAAAGATCCTTATGCAATGAGAGCTCGAAGCTCTAGTTGAATGGTGATATCAAACGTAGGGATTCTATGTATAGGTAGACAGTAGACTGTGGATAGAAAGGGGAATGATAATGAATGGATGAGGCTGTGGTGTATAAGAAAGAGTGTTAGACGCATGTAATTAAAGATTACGGGAGGATGTTTGGCTAATCTTATTATAAACATCTGATAAGCTCTTATATTTGATAAGTTGCTGAAAGAGTTGAGAAACAACTATGTTTTACTTTTAAAATTAAGTTATAAAATATTAGGATAATGAGCTTATAATTTATTTTTAATTATTATAAGATCTTGAATACCGAAAACACACAACAATATTAATTTTTCCTACAGTTGTTTTTCGGCTATTATAATGTGGTTAACATTAAGGGGCTCTTTGACATAACCCTTTCATTACTTTTTTTAATGGGGATAGGCCCCAAAATATTTTAGATCATTTGAGAAAAGCCCATGTTCAATTTCAGTCATTGTGCTTTCCAACTTTATCCCGTCCGCCACCTCATCACTGGGTCACGCGCTCCACGTTTTTTTTTTTCTTTTCCGTTTTTTTAATCGACTATGAAGCATAGTCGATTAGTCTTAAATCGACTATGCTTCATAGTCGATTAAGGAAATTCTTTATTTTTTAACTTTTTTTTTGTTTCTAATTTTGTTTTTAATTTTTTTTTAATTTTTTTAATTTTTTTCTCTATCAGGTTTGTTAATGGATAGTCGATTAAAAATTTAACTATTAAAAATAACAAATCACAATTACAAAAAAAATACAAAATCAATTATATTTTAAAAAAATACAAACATTGTAATTGATTTATACATTGGAATCAATAAACAAAAAATCAAAAAAAAATCAAAAAAAATTAACAACTGGAGTCGGTTAACTTTAATCGACTACTGAACATAGTCGATTAAGCCTTAATCGACAACTGAACATAGTCGATTAAACCACGTAGTCGATTAAGGGCCCTGCCTGCGCGAATTTTTTTTCTGCGCCGTCTTCCGCCACAATCCACCAAAAAACCCTAGATCTGTTCTTCATCGTCACCACGTCGTCGCCACACCACAACATCACCACCCCACTTCCATATTCTAACTGTTTTTACACCAACTTTCCTTCGAAACCAATCCCGAACAAGAATAAAATAAATAACCGGAGCTAAAGAATACATCAAGTCAACGCCGCCGCCGCCGCTGCCATTTTTGTTGGTTTCGCTGTGTGTGGGTAAGGACGACGCCGTTTTGTGATCCTCTTGCTTGGCGTTGCTGCTCTGATACAGCTTCTTCAAGCCGAGAAGCTCCTTCCAGCGGCTCGAGCATCTCGATGTCGTTGAGTGCCGGATGTTGGAGAGATGCAACGGCACGAAGTAATTGCCAAGAGAAGAGAGAAGAGAGAAGACGAGAAGAGGGAAGACGAGAAGACGAGAAGACGAGAAGACGAGAGAAAAAAAAAAAGAGAACGGCAATGGGTTATGGATAATAAGGGTGGTTTAGGAATTATTAAATAATATTTGGGTAGGATATTAGGTAAGGGGGTTTTCTCTAATTATTTTTGGGAGGGGGGTTTTCTTAACTCATTTACCTAGATGAGGGGGTATTGCTAATTATCCCTAACATTAAATTAAAGCTACTATGTTGTGAACAAAGTAAAATAGGGCTATCTTTTTTATGGTCAACAGTAAAATAGTAGGTTCATACAATAACTTAATTTTATAGGGGTGTAAACGAGCCGAGCTCGAGCTCGAGCTTGCTACAAATACTCGAGCTCGAGCTCGACGAGTCTATGATTTTCAACTCGAGCTCGTATACCAAACGAGCCCGAGCGCGAGCCCGAGCGCGAGCTCGAGCTCGAGCTCAGCATAACCAAATTTTCATTCAATTAGAAAAGTAAATATATTCTTTTTTTATTTATTATTAATAATATCTATTATTATATATTATTAATATGTATTAAAAAATATAAAAAAGTTTTTTATTTATTATTAATAATATCTATTATTATATATTATTAATATGTATTACAAAATATAAAAAAGGTAAAGCTCGCGAGCCGGTTCGCGAGCTGTCGAACAACTAGAATGAAACTCGAGCTCTGCTCGTCGAAAAGCTCGGGCTCGCTAGCTTGAGCTCAAGCTCGATTTTTCGAGCTCAAATACGAGCTTTTTTCGAGCAAGCTCCGGAAGCTCACGAGCCGGCTCGACTCATTTACACCCCTACAATAACATTACCGGAAAGAAAATAAATTTAAAAACTAATGTTATCTTGAAAAATAAAAATAAAATTCTAAAAAAAAGATGGGGTAATTTGCTACAGGTCCCTCCATATTATAATTTATGTGTATAAATCCAAGTCAAAGTTTCCATATTTTAATAAATAAATAATATAAATTAAGGCAAAAATACTCTTAAGTCAAATCAAATCAAATCCCAAAAAATATCTCTATCAAAGCTAATTCCCAAACATCTCTCTTACAAATAATAACTATCGTTAAAAAAAATATATTATTTATTTTACAAACTCATACTCTAAAAACGCCACCGCCGCTGCTCCACCGCCTATGACTCCGTGAACTCTGACTCGCTCTGTTAACTGCAAATAGCAAACTGAAAATTAGAATTTGTATTATTGAATTACAAACAAGAAGATACCTATGATTTCGCCAAAATGTAAACAACAAACTGATTTTTTTTTTTCCAGAATTTGCATTATTGAATTGCAAACAAAAAACTACCTATGACTTCGCTAAATGAACACAATAAACTGTAAAAAAATCAACAGAACCTGCATTATTGAATTGCAAGCAATAAAGTACTGATGACTTCATCAAGTGCAAACAGCAAACTGAAAAAAAAATCAACATCATTAAAAAACATTAACAAAAAAATTGTTTATGGTACACGTTGCAACCAACAAAAATATTAAACGAAGTGTTTGTAAAAATCTAACTTAAGACATACCTTACAAATTATAAACCAGAGGAATCGAATCTCCACACCAAACACAATTCTTCAAACAACGAACGAAGTTAAACCAACCTGCAAACGAAAATTGCTAACAACAAACAATGAAGGTTCAACATACGGAAAACTCAATGCCAATTTTGGCTAGGGCTTTGAATTCCTGAATTTTTTTTCGAAGGGGGGAGGGGATGTTTGATGTCCACTTTAATTTTTTCAC